TGGTATAAAGGCAAATAAATCCAAAATATGGCATGATATCACATATATGTTAGTTTTTCCAAACAAACCAACATGTTTCGATATCTTTGCAGGTCCCATGGTCACGGCTGTCTGGTACATAATAGTAAGACACTTATCATGCAAATCTATTATATTCTTCATCTTAAAAACTATACAATAAAAAGAAATACAATGCAAGCAAATACTTTCTAAAATGTAATGGTAATGCCATATTAGTATTACATTTAAATAATAATTTTATGTTGCATAATCATTTTATTTTGACATCTCCGTGGTTCAATAGTTTGTATTGTGTGCCCTGAATGAGGAGTTCCCGGGTTCGATTCTCGGTAAGACCAATTCTGGAAACTAACTTCATTTAAAATTCTGGCCTGGGTGTTATTGGTAGTGCCCCGGAGTGAATTCCGTTGCTCTGGAACTCATAGTATGTACATGAAATTCCCTAGTTTGACACCAGGTAATTGGCGTTGTTGCTGGTGAAATAACAAGCGCATCAGACTTGTCAATTTATGTCTTAGGGTGACGCACGAAGTGACATTGCCCCTCAGATCTCGGTGATTTAAAGCCCAGAGTGGCACTGCAACTATTATGGACAGGCGTGTCGCTTACCACCAGGTGCACGACTTGTACGTCACTTGGTATCATACAAAAAATATATACATACTTATACAAATCTAATAAAATTGTAGAGCCCACTATAATTTTCGAATCGTTAGTTTTCAATGACGATTTGTTTTAAAAGTCTTCTTCTACCTAGTTATCTACAACAAAGTTAAAGAGACGATATGGGCCAATGACCATCGGATGCACTGACACGGTCAATTTTTAAAGTCGTTGCCCTTCTCTAAACGTGCGTCAATCAACTGTCGACTTTCTACGAAATGCGTTCATTTGTGAAGCCTTGTTTCTACTTACTTAGTGTTTACGTTAGTCAACATGAATGTACTTTACGGTTAGGGAGAATAAATAATTGCTTTATAAAAAAAATATATTGTGCAACAACTTTCGCTACATTGATATTTGTATATCCTCCTCAGGCCTCATGTACTTCCAAATGTACTTTATTTGTGAAGTGATTTAGACTCACATTATTATTATTCCTAAGATCACGTACATCATAATGAAAATATTGCAATAACAGTTAGCGCTTATATATTCTATATAACCATGTATATAAAAATACGTTTTTCATACAAAACTGAGGGCATACTTGCTCAGGGCTGAAGCGTGTAATTATATTTAGTTTTTTAATGTCCATTTAGACTTTTTCTTATTAGAGTTTTCTGGGTCATAGGAGGACAGAGTTTATGAGAGAGATAGAAAAAATTTAGTTATTAGGCCTTTAAACTGTTTAATACTGTCTATTTGGTATTTTTAATACAAATTTTAGATGTCTCGTATAATATTGACTTTCTACCATACTGTACTAGCGTGTTTTCCTAAGCAAGTGTAAAGAGGTCTCAAGGCATAATATTTTTTAGATTACTTACTGTTACGGTTTATCAAGTGAAAGCCATTGGGATACTTAACGAATGAAAGGAACTGAAGAAGTGAATACATTGCAGTACAAACTCAATCTTTTGCATTCTCCATTAATATACTACTACTACTAATAAACTAAAAATGATGTAGAAACATGTCGTTTATCTCTGAAGTAGGCCCTTTTACTTGTGTCATTTAAAATAACAGCCTGTTAAGCAAATTACCACGATGTTTTTTTATGTCAACAAGCCTTACATGTTTGTGTTCATTTAGTAGAATCAACGTATTGGTATTCTAGTAGAGTTCTCCAGACAGATTATTCCTGAGATAACGCCTGAGGCCTACGTGTTTCTTTTTAGAACTCGTTTATTTTTATCTCAGATTTTTCTAAGGGCCGACACATGCCAGTTACTGGCACTTTGAGATGTTTGTAATAGGTAGAGATAATGTAACTAGCAGAACATGTGACATGCTGGGTAAAGATATTTTTTTTGTAATACTAGGTGATAACACCAACGAACAAGTCGTGTGGCTGGTAAGCGACATTCCTGTCCCTAACAGTTAACCTGCTACTAAGAGATTTAAGTCACAAAGATCTGAGGGGCACTGCCACTGCGCCTGACACCCTGAGACATAAGCTGACAAGTCTCATGTGCCTGTAATTTCACCAGCACCCTTATCCTTCAAAACCGGAACATAGTAATGGTGACATTACTGCTTGGCAGCAGAAATAGGTAAGGTGGCTGTACTTCCCTGGACGAACTTTTTCACAAGGATCTGTAGGTACTGCTACTAAACTATGACATCTGCAAATGTGTTTTTATCCTTTGAATATAAGTTTATGAATATAAGTTCTTTTGTTAATTGCAATACCACAAAATATGGTAGTTAGGTAGGTAGTAGTACAACAGCAACAGCAACAGCAACAGCAACAACAACAATAATAAATTTATTTGCCATAATAATAAGTAAGTAAATATCAAGGAATCAGTAGATATAACCGCTGGTACTTAAAAAAGGAAAACCTGTGCTATAAGTACCAGCAAACCTTCCAATGGCAATACAATTTATTACGTTATTTTATTTATATATTATGCAAAAATATTAACAGGAACAACTAGTAATTTGTGGAGACAGCAAACGAGTAAAATTAAATGACACTAAATTATATATAATCTTTATAAATAATTCTCTCACTGAAAGTGTATGTGTGCGTGCGTGTGTGCGTGCGTGTGTGTGTGTGTGTGTGTGTGTGTGTGTGT